TGTACTTTACAATATGTGGATACGGTGTTGGTATTACATCATCGAATATTCGTCACGTATCAACGCTACGTATGGTCGATAGATATAAATAATGCAAAATATGATGGACCACACGTACTAAACAGTTACATGGATTTCCTTCCGGATAATTTCTCCTTATCAGCCGCATATCAAAGGCCTTCGGGCGAACTAGTACTGTTTGTACACGATGCAGTTTACATGGTTGAGTATCCCAGTTTCAAATTGAAAGAAGGCTGGCCAAAACGTCTCTCGAGTCTAGGATTTCCCCCGAACATTTTCATCAATATCGTAGTAAATACTAACAGAGGACAAACCTATGTGATCTTCAATAATAACGATGTGGCGCAAATAGATGAATGCAATATGAGTGTTCGTTCATATCACTCGTTACAAGCAGTATTTCCGGGAATACCGTCAGCTCCCACCTTAGCCTTCTGATATATGGATGGTAATCTGTACTTTGCTAAAAAACAATAACCAATTTAACGAGTTCACGAAAACCGTAACAAAAGCTGGTAAATTTAATATAAACATACTCAACGTTGAATATTCGAGAGATGGATTATTGCAACAAATGCAGGATATCTTGAATCGACTACTTCGATCGAGTACTACATAAAACACAACGAGAAATAAGAAGGAGGAGGGGGGGGGGAATGGAAGGACATATATAATCAATACTATAATAGTTTAAACGATTAGTATACAAGGAACAGTCATTCCGACAACATCCACGTGTTCGATCGTGAGGATAATATTGTAAGAATACACACCAATGCTCAACAACGCGGATATCGAAAAGTATTTCATGAAACAGGACGATCGTAATGAAGGAGGTGTGAAGAGAACATTCGACCATGAAAATCTCGATAAAGACAACACATGAAATAAGTAGATATTTTTTTCTTTGCGTCTTTTTTCCATCTACTCATTTTTTCTTTAATTACAGACATCAAATCACACATCGTCCTATCGTACGCATTCTCGAGAGAAGATGTCCGTTAACCGTAACTGG